GACCTTCTGCACTCTTGTGGCCCCAGGGTGGGAGGGCCCCGAGGTGCCCCAGGTTCTCAGATTCAGCTGGCCCATCCTGCAAGCCTGTCGTCTGTGAGGGCCCGAGTGCGACTGGTGACGTGCACCGGGGCAACGACGCCACAAGGTCTCTCCCGCCCTTTTCTTTTGTTCGAGGGCACACGCCTCACCAAAGAGGCAGAAAGCGAGAAATCGCCCCGGGGTGCAGCAGTCCCTTCTCCTCTGCTCGCCTCTCGGGATTTGGGGCAGGCACGCACACGCGCCCAGAATGAGTTTTAAGCCACTGGGTCCAGGACTCGAACAGGGGTCGATTCTGTGGGAGTCTAGCAATGTAACCATCATGCCATTTTAAAGAGCTACTTACGATGAGATAGTCAGGGCGATAGGTTTTGCAGTCAGGTTTTCTTTTTTGGGAACGAAACACAGTAGCCCTGATCCGATCGTGTATTCAATGAACGGCCAATGACCGGACGAGCAAACAAACCGCAAGAACCCCCCGCCCGACCCGGCCCCTCGGCCCGGCAGGAAAGGCAGGAGGATCGTGCCCAAAGACGTCCCCGAACTCCACTCCATGGCACAGTCCAGGAACCGGCTCGGCATCACCGTGTCGGCATCCCTATCACCTCGCAGACAGGCGGGAGGCTGCACTGAGCCAGCCCTCAGAGCTGTGCCTCCTCCGGGTCCGTCACGCGCTTGTGTGGACACACGTGCTGCGGAGTGCACAGATGTGCATGCGCTGAGCGAGGGCCAGGAGTGGAACCAAACTGCGTCCGGTGGTCGCCGTCTCAAGGGAAGGGACCAGAACGGCAGTGTCGGCTTCACCTCTGCTGTGGCTATCTGAACGCAGGAATGGAATCATGTTCCTTGTGTGACCCACATTTGGTGATGTCTCGACACGTGTCTAGAGGCTGGCAGGTGGCACAGGAGTTAAGGTGCTGGACTGCCACGTGGCCGAGAATCCCAGAGAAGTAGGTAAATTAATAAATGAATGTTTGGAAACAAAGAAAACCGTGAGCCTCTCCTGCTTCTAATGCTCCGAGCCCCACGACTGTTCGTATCCTCCCCTGCTGGCACAGAGCCCAGGACAGAGCCACTATAACCGGAAGGCCGGGCGGCTCACGGGAAGGGAGGCCTCCACTTAGCCCACCTCGCAGACATCGGGGCTGCATACCAGTACTTCTTCAGCACCTGCCGGGTTCGGAACAGCTCCTGCACCTGGTGTGCGACTGCCTTCTCCCACGCCAGCACCATGACGCCGGTGGTCTCCCTGTCCAGCCGGTGGCACAGGTGCAAGGGCTCTGCCTTGTGGCCGTGGAGGACTTTTGCCAGGACAGGCAGCACGTCGCTCACGCAGAGCTTCACCCCGGGGCCGCCTAGAAGGGTTTGAGAGCCAGATGTGGGAGGCTGGGAGACCTCAAGGAGGAACTCTTCTTCCTGCTCAACTGTCTGTGCTTGGAACCAGCAGTTAGCGTAATGGCTATGTCGCTGGACTCCCATGTAGCCGACCGCGGTTCGAGTCCCGGACCCCGTGGCTTAAACTCACGCTGGGCACATGGGCGTGCGTGCCCAAGATCCCGAGAGGAGAATGGAGGAGAAGGGATTGTGTTAGATGTGCTCCCCCCCTCCACACACGCACCCCTTTTTTCTTTTCTAACATTTTTTCTTACCCAGCCTTGATGGGAAATAACCTGAAGACTAAGACCTGCTGCCTTTGTATTTCTTTACAGCAATCCCTGCCAGCGGGGACACAACCACAGTCCCCAATCACTGCTGACCGTCCCATGTTTGGGAGGTGGGGACGTCTAATCAGCTGTGCTCCCACAGTGCCACGCATAAGACCACATTCCGCAAAGGTTTGACTCCTCTGACCCACGGAGTGCCCACACATCGGGTCTGAGCTGCTCTGGCTGCAGCAGGTCCCCCGCTGCCTCGCTGGGTCCTTACCGTGCACAGGGAGGCCATAGGGCTTGTTGATGACCACAAGGTCCTGGTCCTGATGGAGAATCCCCCGGCTCAGCGCCTTCGCGAGCACGTTGGGGTGGACTCGCTGCAGCTGCTGTGTGAACCGCACTAGCTCCTGCACCCTCCGCTGCACCGGGCTTGAGGGCAGCTGGGGAGCGAAGGTCCGGTGAGGGCAGAAGGGAGGTCCAGGGGAGGACAGAGGCGCAGGGGAGGTCCCAGGGAGGACGGCGGTGGGGGGCGGCCCAGGGGAGGTCCCGGGGAGGACGGAGGAAGGGGAGGGCGCAGGGGAGGTCCCGCGGGGTAGGTCCGGGCCCAGGTCCGGCTCCGGCTGCCCCAGTGAGCGCTCCCC